TGAAGGACGGTACGATGAGTGAGAACAAAGGAGGAATAAGGTTTGGAAAAAAAAAGTTTGTCATGGCTGATAAAAACGTTAAGCATAAATGGTATAGACGAATATATAGCAAGTTGCAATAGATTGTCTGATTTGTAGGGTCGCAAGTAGGGTTTGAACCTACGCGAATGACGAAATGATGGATGCAATGGGAACCTCGAACTGATGACAACGCGTTCCTTGATCGAAAAGTTTTGTAATTTGGGATATTTTTGTACGTGTACGCTGAGTGTGCGCCAAGATCGGAATGCCAACATTAAAAGCAAAGCAAAAAGATTTATGCCTGCCTTGGGCCAGGCTTCCGACAACGACAACGATGTATGATTTTCCAAAGACATCCATACAGCGAAAAGGAGCGCCAGTTTCGGACTGCACACCAGCAGCTCTGATCCACCGCCGGCTCAGCCTCCTTTACACGGCCTTACGCGGGCTACACGTTCACCGCTATTATCCTAGGCCCCTTTGGTTTTCGAATCGTAGGCTTATAAGTAGCATAATCAAGGTTCTCGAGGTACTTCGCCTTTGCTTCAGCTTCTTTTTTCAACGTTTCGATGAGTGCTTCACTAGTAACCAATCACAATTTGAATACAAGTATAATCAAATGGTGGCCAAAGATGTGATTACATACTCGTTGAACATATTGCGTTTTTCAATTTGGATAGAGGTGGAGCCGGTACTCTCGGGCACGGCGAGAGATAGAGTCATGGTCGCAAGGGTGGAGACGACAAAGAGGAAGACGGTGCGAAGAGAAGGCATTGCGCTGAGGATGCGATATCGCTTTGAGAGGTTAAACGATAAGAGGAAAGAAGAGGGTCGTCTGGACACTCTTTATAGGAAAAAACCTACTGTGGTGAGGTCTGGGAATATGTGCATGTGTAAGCAACATTCGAGCCGTATGAATCATGATGCATGATGGAATGGTGCAATTTACCATGATGTCTCGGTCTCATGAGTAGATCAGGTTGTGGCGCCAGAGTTAATTCACACTGTGTATAACCGGATGAGTCAGAAGACGGGCCGGGGTGTCTTGGTGTATTGTAAGTTAAGGACACGGAACGCGTCAAAGAAACCACATTCAAATGAAATACCAATATAATATCCTTCTCCACGCCTGTACTCATTCATCCTCATCGCGTCGCTCAATGAGTACCACCATGTCGAGGCCGTGGAATATGTGCATGTGTAAGCAACATTCGAGCCGTATGAATCACGATGCATAAATGAATGGTGTAATTTACCTTTACCATGGATGTCTCGGTCTCATGAGCAGATCAGGTGTAGCGCCAGAATCAATCAACACTCTATGTACCCAAATGAGTCAGAAGACGCGCCGGTGTGGCGCGTTCCGCATCCTTACTTGCGCCAAAGAAACCACATTCAAATTCAAATAAAATACCAATACAATATCCTTCTCCGAGCCCTCGCGCGTCCGCGTCGCCTACTGACTACCCGTCCCGTCGAACTGCACGACATACCCAACTACCTCCAGCGCTCAAGCACAAGCACGTACATATTCTATTCTCGTACGGCACGGCACGGTACACCCCATCCGATAACCTCATAACATTATATCTATACAATAAAACGCTCGTAAAAAAGCTCGATACTATGAGGGCCCGGCCCGGGGCGGGGGCGGGGGCGGGGAAATCGAATGGCGGGGAAATCGAATGGCGGGGATGAATGTTTAACGTCTGATGTTCGACGTTTGACGTTTGATGTTTGATGTTTGGTGAAGAGCGGTACGACGAGTGAGTGAGAACACAAAAGGAACACAAAAGGAACACAAAAGGAAAAACAAAAAACAAAAAAAAACAAGAGAAGAGAAGAGAAGAGAAGAGAAGAGAAGAGAAGAAGGAATGAACGCAGTGAAACGGACAATTCGAATCAAGGGATGACAGGTGGATGTTACGTATGATGGGAGGAGGTGAACGAGAACGAGAACGAGAACGAAAACGAGTGTATGCGTATGTGAGTGTGTGTGTGATGCATGTGGGTATGGTATGTATTTGTGGTTTATGGTTTATGATTGGATGGATGGATGGATAAGCAAGAGGCTAGCGAGGCGAGCGGGCGAGCGGACATTCGGGTGGTGGGGGCAGCTGCACAAAGAAGGGGAGAGAGGGGGAGAGGGAGAGAGCGTGAGCGGGTTATAAGTTAACCGTTGTGAATAAGATTAATATCGGTCGGTCGGTGTGAATGTGAAGGTGGGTGCAGGTGAGCAAAGGAAAAGCCTTCACTAGGGAAAGCAATAGAAAGCAAAAAAAAAAAAAAAAAACACAAAGGGGATCAAGGGGACCAGACCAAAACTCAAAGCAAAGCAGTACCCTCTTTACCAGCAGCAACGAGCCCCCGCCATTCCTCTTTCCACCCACGCATGCTCGCTCTAAGCTTCTTATCCCCAAGCGTACGTCCTATCCAATTCATAAGCACATCTTCGTCCTCCGGCACGAAGAACGACGACAAAAGCGAGAGCACCGTCTCGAAATTCGCAGTAGAAGATGTTATTTGATCTACCAAAGGCCCTCAGTACGATATCTCTGCATGCACAGAAAACGCAACTTACCCCGATACACCCACACGATCGCGACCGCGACCGCAACAAAGACATCATACCCCTCCAACAAAAACGCGTCCCAGAGCCTCAGCTGCGTCTGAAACGGCACGGAATTACTAAACAGGGTGATGTACCACTTTGTCGCGTACGACGTGGTCGAAATCATGTGTCTCCTGAACGCATCGAACACGTCGGGCATCATTTGTTGTGTGATGCGTTCCTGGACGTAGATTGCCTCGAGGAGGCCTGGGAAGCCCGGGCTGAAGACGGTGTGGAGGGTGTAGGCGTCGTGGAGGCGGACGAGAGCGGCGTAGACGCGTGCGGGGTCGAAGTAGCAGAGGAGGGTGGCGGCGATGGGGCCCATGCCTTGGACGTACCCGCATTTGGGGCAGCGGAGTGAGAAGCTGTGGAGGACGTGGAACAGGGAGCGTTGGCTGGGATTCGAAAGTAAGTTTTAGGAAATGAGACAGTGAGGATTCGAGGACTCACCCAGCACCGTAGCGCGTGCGAAACATGATATGCCCACTTATCGTCCGCGGCACGTCCAGATCGATCTGTACATCGTACGTCGACGGCTTGTCCAGCGCGTCCGTGTACTCCCTCGCTAGGGCGTCCACCTCCCTCGCGCCGAGACTCGAGTACCGCTCCATCATGTAGTCCCAGGACGCGCCGCGCCACGCGTCCGGTATGCCCTTGTAGACGCGCCGGCGGAGTTTAGCTTCCTTCCCCTGCTTCACGCACCACGTAACGACGTTCGCGCCTGCGTCGCGCGTGAGCGGCACCATCATCCGCATCCACTTGGCTATTCTGCCCGTCTCCTTTGGCGGCGGGCGTGTCGGCGGGAGCGAGCTCAGCGCGGGCGGCGAGGCGGGCGCGGTGCCTGAAGGGGCACGCACAGGGGCAAGACGCTTGAGGAGGGGCGAGGAAGCAAGGAGGACGAGACGGTCGTGGGAGGGGCCGGCAAAGAAGCCGTATCTAGGATGATGATAGGGACTCGGCCAGAGTGCAGCAAGGCTGGGGCTCACCTGTCTACGCTGGCGAGGGTCTCGAGCTCCTTGGGGCCGAGTGACTTGGACTTTTCGGTGCCGTCGTCGAGTGCGGCGAATGCGTTGAGCTGGCTCGAGCGGCTGGGGCCGACGCGTGCGCGGGTGCGCTCGACGCCGTCTTCGAAGCCATCGCCCCTGACGCCGGATGCCTCGAGCTGGGCGTACGTGCTGCGAACGTGGAAGGCGTCGACGTCCTCGCTGTCGGAGGGGACTTGGGGCTCGGGAAGTGGAAGAGGAGTGGGAGGCAGGATGGTCGATTCCTGGGAGCGCGAGGAGGTTGCGCTTGTGCGGAAGCTGAGGGAGGGCGTGGGCAATGTGGACGGCGGTGGCGGAGAAAGGGGGCTGTGTGCGCCAAAGTCTGTGTAGTACGGCAGCTCGGTGTCGGCGAGCTCCTTGACTGGCTGGCCGTCGCCGTACATCGAGTAGATCGAGACGATCGTCGTCTCGGATGTCGGCCGCTTGAGGGGAACCACGACCAGCGCTGGAGAGTCGTCCATGGAGAAGGAAACGAATGACAGTCGACGAGAGTCGGTATTTCATGTGGCGGTGCCTTTGAGGCAACGGTCATTTCTGTCTCACACGCCGGTCACATTTAGTTTATCAGCTGATCAAGTCTCAATCTTTCCGTATTAGCTGCCTTCTGATACAATGCTCGGTCAACGCTGTCAACTAGGGAGACGTGATTTGCGGATGATTCATTACTGTAGCGGCCGTCCAACCCACGATGCGGAACTGCTCTGCTAAAAAAACACGTAGCTAGACCCGCCAAGGTGGATCGCCAACAAAGGCCTTCATCATCCACTCTCGCTACCACTCAAACACCACAACATTTGAGCTGTAAAAAATTAGCTTTGAACTGCTCATTCGCAGCCAATTCCTCGGTGCCCGTTCATTCTACTGCGAGCACGAGCACGAGCACGAGCACGAGTTGTGGCACCGAATCTGGGTCGGACCACTGCGCTCAAAGGCCACGGGTGCGATCTGTATCAACACTAGCATAGCAATTCAAATCCAATCCAAATCACTGGTCCACATCGCATCATTGATGTCGATATCGAGCGACTAAACCCATTCGTAGCCATCCCATACACTTGTAACAGTTCCCCTCCTCGAGCAATACAATTACGCCTACCCAGGCCGCGACATCCGAAAAACGCGGTCTCTAGGCATCCAACCATCAATTTCTCAAAAAACCCGAGCCGCCTCCCATCCATGTCCTGCCATGCTACAAAAAGCCCGAATCGGCATCAATCAGTGAAACTGCGCACCGGTGGCGTCAACGTCAACGTCAATGTGGCAACCCCTTCAAAGTTGTCTTGGTCCTGGCTTGCTATCAGCCCAGGAGATATAAATAGAACAGTTCCCCCTTAGCTCAGTGGTAGAGCGCGTCACTAGTATCGCTATGTGGTACAGTGCCCATGACGAGGTCAGTCGTTCAAGTCGGCTAGGGGGAATACAACAATGGATTTCAAATCCGTTACTTTTTCTGACTGGTGATGAATGGATTCCTGTTTAACGCCGGCAAGCCACGGACTGGGCTTACGAATGGGCGATCACATCGGTGAGGCTGACAAAATTATGCGGGGGATGATCGATAAGATAAGGTGCTTGAACGTCTTTAGGTTCCGCCCTTCAGAATCGTAAAATAGTTGAACGTTACCTTTTCTGACTCATATGAGTAAACATGAATTCGAAGAAAAAGTTATCGTCATTTTCATGTATTCGATGTTGATGTCAATTTGAAACCAAGCACTGATGGGTGACGTCAACGTATACGGCAACATCAAAGCACATCACTTATGTACGATCTTGGATATCTTACAATACTAAGTCTGTTCAAAAAAAATTTGTTATGGATGATAAAAAAACTTAACCATAAACGGTATGAACAAATCTATAGCAGCATATATTATCTGATGTTGAGCCGTCGCAAGCACAAGGTTTGAACCTACGCGAGGGAGAGGGGAATGACGATTTGATACGAGCAATAATGATGCCGCGGGACCTCAGACAGAATGACAACCTGTTTGTAGTTGAATCTCTACTCACTCATTTGAGTGCTAAACTCGGAAGAATTCGAAGTTGTGATCAAATAGTTGAACGTTGAACGTTGGACCTCTACTCACTCATTTGAGTGCTAAACTCGAAACAATCCGAAGTTATTGTCATCTTCATCTTCATGTATTTGATGTTGAACTGATTCCGAGCACTGATGGTGCCGGCAACATTGAAGTTTTTCGTTACTGCTTGACCCCTGTTGTTCCACCAGCAGCTATACATGATCATGATGTAGCTCTAGCTCCCCTCTAGTTCAGTGGTAGAGTACATCACTTACGTACGATTTTGGATATCTTACGATACCAAGTCTTTGAAAAAGTTTGTTATGGCTGATTAAAAAACATTAACCATAAATGGTATAGGCAAATAGATAGCAAGCTGCAATAGATTATCTGATTTTTAGCCGTTGCAAGTAGGGTTTGAAACAAGAAATGATGATGCAGTGGGACCGATGACAATCCGTTCGTTCCTTGGCACATACATATGATCGAAAAGTATTTGTACATAATTCGCCCTGGGCCAGGCTTCTGGCAATGACAACGAATCAAAAGTTCACGAAAGACTGGATGGATGGATGGATGGATGGACGACTCGACTGACGTATATACGTGATCACAGGGGAACCTCAGACTGATGGCAACTATTCCTTCGTATAATCTGCTTTGGATTTTACAAAGGCATCCATACATCGAAAACTATGACGTAAGTAAGTACTCGCATGTAGTATGTAGAGTCGATCGTTCAGCCACACACCTCCAGCGCAGTCTCCTTTACAGGGTCTTAGGCCTATAATTCATCTCAGACGTTTTCTGCAAGGTATTTGTCCAGTGCTTCAGCTTCTTCTTTTGCCCATTCTTCGAGACCCGTCCTAGTAAATCACGAATTGAATATCAGTATATTATGTGGAATGATAGCCAAAGATTAATGACATACAGGAACATGCGTTTTTCGAGTTGACCAGAGCTGGAGTCGATGCTCTGGGGCACGGCGAGAGATAGAGCCATGGTCGCAAGGGTGGAAGCGACAAGGAGGAAGACGATGCGTAGAGAAGGCATTGCGCTGAGGATGAGCTGATTATAGATAGTCACTTTGAGAGGTTAAGCGATGATGAAGAGGAAAAGCTCCAGTTGAGCCACTCTTTATAGAAAGACGGAACACGCATGAGCAACGTTCAACAACATGAATGTTACATGTTACGATCGCCAGAAATTGTCCGTGGTCGGATGTTGGTCTTCGTTCTGGCTGTTGCAACTGGACCGAGCAAAACCAAGTTGACTGCCCCCACAGAATGCTCTGCCAGTCACGGTGGCGCCTCTCATACTTCCATTGGATTCAAAATGCTATCATCTTGCGTAAATATGTTCCGCACCTTTTTGATCCGACTCGGAGTCGTCGAGCAGTCAAAAGTCTGGACATCTTAATTTGACCCAAATCAGTCAACTTGAAAAAAGTTTATTATGGCCTTGTTATGGCCGATAAGAACGTTAACCAAAATGGTATGGGCATTTGCGATAAGATTATCTTATCTTGGGACTACCGTCGCGAATGAAAACTGACGATTGATATGAGAGATGACGGAGAAGAACAAACAATCCATGAAAGAATTGATGTGATGCATAGTCACTCTCAAGCTTTTCGAGAGTTAGATTTGAAGACAAACGACAAGTAGTACACATCTGAGTCACGACTAGTCGAGAACATTACTTTCAATACTCGAGCTTGCATTCGAGTTGATAGCAGAAATGATGCAGGGTGCAAAACAACTTCAGAAGAAGGGAAGAACAACAGCGACGATTGATCGTTGATTAAAATGGTGTGGAGCAAGCTGCAATAGATTATCTGATTTTGAGCCGTCGCAAGTACAGCTTTTAAAACTCTACGCACGGGAGAGGGAAATGACGAGAAATGATGCAGGTACATGGCAACTCATTCCTTCATATATATGATCAAAAAAAATTGTGATATTGGGAGGTTTTTGGGTGCTAACATTGAAGAAAAAAAAAGGAAAAAGATTTGTGCCCTGGGCCAGGCTTCTGACAATGAGAACGATGTATGATTTCCAATCCAAAGGCATTCATACAGCAAGAACTACGGTATAAGGAGATGGTTGTTCCGCCGTTTTGGACTACACACCGCCAGCTCAGCCTCCTTTACACGGCCCTCGGGTTACACGTTCACCGCTATTATCTTGGGCCCACTTGGTTTTCGAATCTTAGGCTGATAAGTAGAATAATCAACGGTTTTGAGGAATTCCTCCTTTGCTTCAGCTTGTTCTTTCAATGTTTTGATGAGGGCTTCTCTAGTAACCATCACAATTTGAATACAAGTATAATCAAATGGTGGCCAAAGATTGTTTACATACTCGTTGAAAATATTGCGTTTTTCAATTCGGATAGAGGTGGAGTCCATGCTCTCGGGCACGGCAAGAGATAGAGTCATGGTCGCAAGGGTGGAAGCGACAAAGAGGAAGAGGATGCGTAGAGAAGGCATTGCGCTGAGGATGAACTTATTAAAGATAGTCGCTTTGAGATGTTAAGCGATGATGGAGAGAAAAAGCTCTAGTTTGGGCCACTCTTTATAGAAAGACGAGACACGCATGTTACATGTTACGATTGCGATAAGTGTCCACGGCCAGATCTCTGTTTTCGTTCCGGTTGTTGCAACGAGCAACGCTAAGTTGACAGCTAGCCTGTGGGCCCCTCTGTGTAGCGGCGAGCCTCATTACTTCCAATTGCTAGTGCACAAGCCACTTACCAAAACCGGCATAGGACCCTATATTGACTTAACTATATTGACCGCAGATGAAACCTATTTTCTTCGATCTATGAAAACTTCTACGAAAACTTACTTACAATTTTTCTCCTTCTTTACTTTACTTGACAAACCTACTATACTATAAAAGTACGATATTTAGCTAGTCAAGAACAGAGTTTATCCTGGTTTACATCAGTCTTGAACTCTACGTAATCTCAAGTCGTCACGCCACTGCTGTCATAGCCTGGTGTTTCACTGTGCCAGTCACGGCAGCGCCTCAGACTCCATTGGATTCAAAATGCTATCATCTTGCGTAAATCTGTTTTGCACCTTGTTGATCCGAGTCGTCGAGTAGTCAAAGTCTGGACATCTCAATTTGACCCAAATTAGTCAACTTGAAAAAAGTTTGTTATGACTGATAAAAACGTTAACCAAAATGGTATGGTCATTTGCGATAGGATTATCTCATTTTAGCACTAGCATCGCAAAGAGAAAACGAAAACTGACGATTGATACGAGAAATGACGGAGAAGAACAAACAATTCATGGGATTGATAGGTTGCGTAGTCACTCTCAAGCTGTCGAGAGCTGAACTTGAAGACGTATGTCAAGTAGTTACACATCTGAGTCACGACTAGTCGAGAACATTCTCTTCTCTTTACTTTACCCGAGCTTCTTTGTATTCAAGTTGATAGCAGAAATGATACAAAACAACTGAAGGAGAAGGGAAGAACAATAGTGACGATCAATTATCGGTTGTGAGCCTAGACCAGAAACACAGCAACGATTGAGTCGATCATAAAAATCGTCGGTACTCATTTCCCGACGATTTTCTTCTCTTCCTACTTACAATTTATTGTTTATGATACAAACAAGACCACTTAGTATAAAAAGCTACGTATAGACAGAAAATGAAGAGAGTTTATTCTGGTTAACTACTAATCCGAACTCTAAAACTTGTGTGACGTCACTGCTTGATAGCCTGACGTTACATATTTTTAACCTCTAATTCGAACTACTCGCACGCTTGCCGACTCACGTCGTCTGGAGTCCTCTCGGTTCGATCACCTGAGCTATCTGTATACGTGAGTAACAAACCTGCTTTCAACCAGAACCGAGCACCTGCCACGGTTGGCACCAACTCAACCTGAAACCCACAGCAACGTCGGGGACAGAACCCTGACCCCACAGAACCGAGAGTCAACAGGGATCAACTCAGGAGCACAAACTCCCAGACCACATGACACACCTCCTGGGCTTCTAAAGCTGGGAGAAGTGAGCTTATCGATGGATAGTGAGAACATATTGGGAGATATCAGCGCTTACACTGAATATGCAGAACCATCAAAATGCTATGAACTGAAGCCAGGGAAAGACTGGGCAACAGAAACTGAACTTGCAGATGCATGTAAAAGGAGAAATGAAAAGGCAGAAGCCTATGTTGCAGATAAGGCAAAAGAGGCTTATGAGACCCTCAAGGCATCTAATAGTATAATGGACTCACTTAGGATACACACCCAGAACAAGTTAGATCAGCTCAACTTGACTGATGAAGAAAAGGGGGTACTATATTCCATTTTGCAAAAGGAGAATGCTTGGAATTATTAGAACCTTATATTTACACCTGACAGTGCATAAGTAT